TGGATATATAATAATCAACTTGCCTGCATGTATGCCTTTCCTGTATGATCCAACCAACCCAGAGTTTGTACTCCTTCTTTATCCTGTCTTCCTCACTCTTTCTTCTTCGTTATCTCTGCTTATCTCTTTTGCAGTCTTTATTCTTTTTATCACTCTCACATTTCTGGCCACTATCCTACTGCCCTAATTTCCTCAGGGCCAGGTAGCAGCTTCTCCCCAGAAGTCAATGAAATTACTCAAACTAGCCAATGCTGAGCCTGATTAGCCTGGCTTGCTTGTTCCTTCCCATGAAAACTGCAACAAATATTCTTTCCCATGTTTTCCCCCATTTCCTCTGCCTCCTGACTGACCGTGATGTTTCCCTGTCCTGCCTCTTGTGATGTGCTATGCCTACTGCTTCTAGGGGACTGTGAGTAGTAAAATAAACTACTCTCCTTATGACAGTCATTTCTGTGTTTGTGTGTCTTACTGATTAAAAGAAATCCCGGGTACCATGAATGTAAATGACATTCTCTCAGTGCTGTCGGTTTCGGACACCTTTTATCATTATTAAAACATCTTCCTCAGTCGCCAGCTTCTTATGAAGTTCTAATTTTTTTTAACAAGGGGTATTGTTGAGTTTCATCAAAAGCCTTTGTGACATTTATTGAAATAATTATTTATCTCCTCTTTTTCCAATAAAAATGATAGTGACTGAACAATAGGTTAAAATTAAAGTTTCATCAAGGACCGCCAGGATATAAGAGCTGTGAAAGTCCAAATCACCATATGCAGGTTTTCATAGCAAATATTTGAGACCCTGTTCCACAACTGTTAATTCCCCACATGGTCTTTAACAATGTGAAATGATGTAAAGTGGAGAAGACTGCAGGGAGCTGCTGCCTTGCACTCTCCCCTATCTCGCCCTTGATAATCATAAGTATGGAGAGGAAAATAATGTAAACTCTTACCCTGGGTCTAGAGGAGGAATTTTTAGGGGACCACCAGGACAACTGAACAAAAAAACTCCTGGAACTAAGAAGCAGTTATAGCAAGGATGCTGTATACAGGGTTGATATAGAAAGTCAATTGCAATTGCTCGTTTACACACCGGCAATGAACAATTGGAAGCTGAAGTTAAAAACGACGCCACTTATGTGAACATCCCTTTCCTCAAATGGAATACTTATGTATAAATCTAACAAAATATATCAAATATCTCTAAGGAAACTATAAAATTTTGATTAACGAATTGGTGAATACAAATTAAGATCTGATGACTATAGCCAGAATAGATAAAGAAATGTAAAATATATACAATTAAAAAATAAGGAGGCTAGTGTTAGAGGATCTAACATACATTTCATTACAATTTCAGAAAAAGTGAATAAGGAGAGGCAATTTGAAAACAAAATAAATTACAATTTTCTGGAATAGTGAAAGGCAGATATTTGTAGATTCAGAAACTTCAGTAAATTATCAGGTAACTTAAGTTAAAAGAAATCCACAGTGAGATCCACTGTGTGCACCAAAGACAAAGAAAAGGTCTTAAAATCATTCAGAGGGAAAACAAAGAGATGGCCTAATAGGAATAATAATTTGACAGCTGACTTCCAAATACAACGGGGAAAGGCAGAAGATAGTGGAGACAATCCCTTCAAAAATCTGAGAATTCTTACTGTCAATTGGAATTTTACATCCACTGAAACCATCTTTGAAGAATGAGGGTGAAGTAAAGATACTGTAAAGAAAAATACCCAGCTATAACGCAAATACTAGACAATAATGTGTGTGTGTGTGTTTGAAATCAAAGTGTTACTAAGTCTATGTGTTTTCTGGGTAAAAATTGTTTAACTAGAGCTTTTATTGAGTATGGATATTATCATTTTAAGTAGCCATTAAAAGAATAGGTACAGTATATAAGTTTTCAACAGGGAGTTTAAAAAGAAGAATAAAATCCTAATCACATGAAGTAGACAAGAAAGGAAGAAAAATGCCCCAGAGAAATCCAGAAAAACAGAAAGTACAAACCAAGATGTTAAAAAAAATATGTAATCACAATGAGAATAAAAATTATAGGCCAGGCGTTTTGGCTCATACCTATAATCCCAGCACTGTGGCAGGCCAACCCAAAAAAATTGCTTGAGACCAGAAGTCAGAGACCAGCCTAGGCAACATAGTGAGACCCCCATCTCTACAAGAAAAAAATAAAAATTATCTGGGCATGGTGGCATGAGCTTGTAGTCCCAGCTACTTGGAAGGCTGAGGCAAGAGATGGCTTGAGCCCAGAAGGTTGAGGCTACATTAAGCTATGATCACACCACTGCACTCCAGCCTGAGACCCTGTCTCCCCCACCTCCAAAAAAAAGAAAAGAAAAAGAAATTTAAAAAGCAAAAAGAATAAACATGCAGTTAAAAAAAAAAAGAAATTTAAAAAGTAAAAAGAATAAACACTTGCAGTTAAAAGATAATAATTACTAAACTAGCTATAATCACAATGAAATCTGCTGTATGTCATTTACAAGTGGCAAATGAAAAACATAAAGGTACAGAGAGTTTGAACATGAATGAATAGATTTGTCAGGCAAATACCTGAAAAAAGATCATACAACTGCATGAGTACAAGAAAAAAAGCAGAAAACATTACACAGTGATAGGCGGTTCAATTTACCAGGATGTTACATACATAATTTTTGTTTACACTTAATAATAAACAGTATCAGAATGTATAAGGCACAATTTGCAGAAGAATAAAAAGATATTGACAAATTTGCCCTCCAAAGATTTTAAAACATCCTTCTTAGTAATTGATGGATGCAAGAGACCAGACAACAGGCTGCAGGCAGAAGATTTGTGCAACACGCTTAACAAGCTTGTTCTAAGGAACATGTATGGTGCATTGTACCCAAACACACATAAACCATCTGTAAACACAGATCACACATCAAGCCGTAAGTCTCAACACGCTTCAAAGCCTCAATTATTATGGAAGTGGGTCATTTCAGTATCACACTGGCCAAGATTCCTAAGATCAAAGAAAATATGAGGCTTAAATGTTCATTCTCTTCCTTGAGGACTGACTGTAAAATCTTAGTTCATGTTCTATCATGTGACAGATTAAGTCACATTTTGCGTAAACGCTACCAAACGCTGTGGTTTGTGTTGCAGTTGGCCTATTACATGGGTCTTTGCCCCAGTGGCAGCATTATACAAGAAATCATGGAGTTTTTATAAGCGATACAGGATTACTGTCCTATATTGTTGATTAGGTATTATTATTCATAATACATTATTACCCATGTACTCCTTCTCTAGTTCCCAATTTCACCACAGTTTTTCCACTCCCCCAACACAACCAAGTATCTCACTAAACATTTCATAAAGAAACACATTTTGCTGCCTTTCGTGGATCCATCTAAATAATCCTACTCAATTATAGGTAGAACTTGTAAAGACCTTTCAGCCAGACACCAAAGATTGTGTTCCACTTGAGTGAGAATCAGAGTTTAGGATCTTCATGAGAGCCCTCTATTCACGGACTTGCCTGGCTTTGTCATTGCTTTTTTAACATGAGTGACTCCATTTTGATTCTGACAACTTTAACAACTCTCTTTGCTGACACCTTTCCTGTATCGTCCCAGCGATCTACATAAAAACCATGATTAATCAGGTGTCAGAAAAGCTGTGCTTTGACTGCATCTGACATCAAAGGAACAAAGGCGATGAAAACTGGAGAGAGTTACTGTTGATGAGATGAACTTTCATGTCAGGCAAATTTATCTTCCATCCTATTTCGAGCATATGCTTCAGAAAAAAGGGCACCTTGTTAGTTTCAATTGCTAAATATTTTGGTTTTAAAACTAAATGTTTCTAATTTTAAAGATTCATTTAGAATGCAGGAGTGTCCAATCTTGTGGCTTCCTTGGACCACACTAGAATTGTTTTGGGCCAAACATAAAATGCACTAACCCCCTCCTATAAAATTGAGAATAACCCCCCTAAAATTGAGAAAATGGAAAGTTTTTGAGCGACAGTTAGTGATGATAGCTAATAAATACCCTTAAAAATTGAGAAAATATCTTATAATGTTTTTGAGAGAGAGTCTTGCTCTGTTGCTCAGGACAGAGTGCAGTGGCACAATATCAGCTCACAGCAGCCTCTGCTTCCTGGGTTCAAGGGATTCTCCCATCTCAGCCTCTGGAGCTGCTGGGATTACAGGGGTGCACCACCATGCTCTGCCAAAAGCTCATAATGTTTTAATTTGTGTGGTGCAGTATTCAAAGCAGTCCTGGGTGGCCTGCAGCCCATGAGTTGAGACAGCACGATTTAGAGCTTACTTTTCTCCAAATATTAAAACATAGCATTAATTATCTTCCTTTATTTAAAAAAATGTGTTATTTTCCACTCAAGATTTTGAGAAGTTTTACAGTTAAAAAAAAACCCACAAAAATACAAAACCAAAAGAGGGCCATGGAAATAAAACTAACAAAACATAAAAGGTCTATCAGAAGCCAATTTGAAAGAGAAGAGATGCAGGTACCAAGAACCAGGATAAATTGGGCGTTAAATGTATCTTGGAGGGAAAACATTCCAGGTAGAAGAATATATATATATATGTATATATATGATTGCCTTTTCTTGTCCCTACATTTTTATTGACAGAATACTTACAGCATTGTAATAATAAGGCAATTCAAAAAAACTATCTAAATAACCATTTTTTAAAATGACTGTTATTCAAGCATTAAAAAAGCAAAACCAAAACAGCCTGTGTCCAGGACTCCAATCAATCAAGCAACAGGATCTCAGAGAAAGGGAACAGGCTCTGTTTGTCATGTTTTCTCATTTTCCTCTCTCGATTTTCCGGAAAATTCTGAAGGTCACAGAGGTAGAGATGGAAAATCTATATAAGGTCACCAAGACTTAAGAAGGCATGGGATGGTGAAAGCTATTTTTAATTACAGAGTTGATATCCAGATAGATTGACCCAATAATTAATCTTTCTAGAAACACGGTCTTCAGGAAAAATGTTTAACTTTTATTCATTTCATACTTCTGCACATAATAAAATAAATGAACCTAAAACAGCACTTTAGGCACTTGGAAGGGAAGATACATTCCATTTAGGTGAAAATACATAGGAGCGATATGTACATTTGGGCAGATACTCTGAATTCGATTGGGTTAATGGTTAAGGCTGTACTTGACCACGACAGGGAGAAGTTTCCCATCACATTTTATCTGAAATGAACAAGATGTGAGGGACATCTCCTAGCAAAACCTGCACTGGGAGTCAGCGATGCGTCTCCCTCTGGCACACTCACTGTGCCCGTCCCTAGGACACGTTGCCTCTGTTCTTTTGCAACGCTTTCATGAGGTCTGACATGAAATCTTGCTCCCCGCCACCTGCCCCGCCGGGGGGCGCTGGGTTCTCGTGCCTCTTGGGGGGCATAGGAGGCCTTTTGGCGACCGCGGAGGGCAGCCTGGCGGAATTGGGGTCGAGCGCGTGCGGCGGCTGCGGCAGCGGCGGCGGCGGCGGCGGCGGGGGCAGCTCTGAGCCTTCGGTTCCAGCACAGGTCGGCGGGAGCGGGGGCACGAAGTCCGGGGGCGGCTCCATGAAGTCCGGGGGGTGGCGGTGGGAGCTCGGGGTGGTCCATGGGTGGCGGCGGTGGAAGGAAGTCGACGGGCGGGGCGAGGAAGCCCCTGCCTCCAGTACCCTTGGCCTTGGGGGTCGTGGCGGGGCTGCTGCTGGTATCCGGAGGACCGCCGCACTGCAGGGGGAGAGGAAGGCTGGACTTGGGGGCCTGTGGGGCCCGAGGCATTCCGGGCTGGTGGTGGTTCCCGAGGGCTGGTTTCTTATCCTGCAATGGGGCAACGGCAGCTTTCATTTTTTTTTTTTAATTTTTATAATTTTTAACTTTTTATTATTTAGTGAAGACAGGGTCTCACTCTGTCACCCAGGCTGAGTGCAGTGGCGCGATCTGGGCTCACTGCAGCCTCGATCTCCCAAGCTCAAGCGAGCCTCCTGCCTCAGCCTTCCGGGTAGCATTTTTCATTCTTGACAACAGAGCCCTGGTGGACAGGACATGCCATGGATATGTGAGGTCTGTGTCTGCCCCCTGGGGAGCCTCTGTCCCTCAGTCACTGAGACTCTTGGTTGTGGATGAGCTCATCCTTGCACTGGAATATGGCAATTATTCTGAATGGCCTCTAAATTAAAAACAATTTTTAAATTTTTTGGCTGGACATGGTGGCTCATGCTTGTAATGTCAGCACTGTGGGAGTCCCGGGCAGGCGGTCTCCAGTAGACTTCACCTGTTATAAATATTAATATGTATAAATTATTAAATTACCACATAGCATATTAATATATATAAATTATTGAATTAATAAATAGACATATAATTATACAATATATAATAATAATTTTATAATGTCCTCAGGCAGCTGGATTGAATTTCTCTGTTTTAGTGATAATTATCATTCCAAGTTACAGTTTATCAGAATTCCAGTTTATTTCATCCTATACTTAATAGTCTCTTACCACTGAGGATTAAATTTGGAAATTTTTTTCTAATAAAGTGCCTTCTGATTTAGTATCTATTTTATTTTATTTAGTTTATTTGCTTGATAAGCTAATTAACTGGTGATGTATTTTTTTCATTTAAATTTCCAAACAGACAACTTGGGAGTTAGTGTTCACAAGTGATTTCTGTTCTGGGATTCTTTTCTTTCTTTCAGCATTTTTTTCTTCAATTGGCATTAGAGAAATAATGAACTAAAACTAGCTGAAAGCACATTGCGTGAAGAGATTGTCAGGCTTGAGAAGAGAATGAGAACATTAAGAAAACATGACTTTTAAAGAAGGTCTGGTTTTCAAAATTATAAGAAGTTCCACCTCAAAAAACAAACAAGAAATTCAAGAAATACCAATATTTAATTGTTTTCACCACTGGCTGATGAACAAAATGAATGGGTGAAAGTGAAAAATTGCGAAAGTGAAGCACCCGCCTGTCCTAGCTTGGTGACATGCTATTGTCACAGTTATTTAAGGTTGTTTCGAATCACACATGAGAGATCTTCAACAGAATTTATATAGTCAGCTGAAATGTTTTGATCTAAATTAGTAACTAAGTAATAATTATCAGCTATGATTTTAAGACAGGTTTAAATGAATCCTCATTAATCTATTCAGTTGAAAAATGTTATAGAGAATGTTATACCAATTCGCTTTTATTTTACAATGCATTTTCTCCTCCATCACCATGGGGATGTATGTAGGACTTAGTGGGGAAAATAGAAAACGCACATTTTTAATGTAACCCTTTTTTAAAATCTTTTTTTCTTTCTTCAAGACAGGGTCTTTATCTATCACCCAGGCTGGAGTGCAGTGGTGTGATCAGAGCTCACTGCAGCCTTGAACTCCTGGGCTCAAGTGATCCTCCTGCCTCAGTGTCCCAAGTAGCTGGGACTATAGGTGCTCACTACTGTGCCCAGCCCCTATTCATAGTGTAACTCTTTTGGCAGTCTTCTAGTCTGATTTTGGGGGCTAGTTAGCACTTTGTATGGGGCTTTGAACTAACTGGTTGCCCCATTTTATTCAAAACAGGAAAGAAAAATCCCAAGGGTTTAAAACTTGGGTGTGCCACTTTCAGAAAGGGTTAAAATCACTTGACTAAACCAAGAAAAACACTTGGGTCAAAGTAGAGGTAGCTAAATAAGCTAAATAACTCCAGAGTTTAAAGGAAATGCTCACATTTTTCCTAAGCAGTGTGATGATAGCTGGTTCTAACTTCTGATTCTACCATATGTAACTTTAAGATGATAAATACGAAGAAATTACCGAAATGAAATGGTAGTGACTTCTCAGTTGGTGGAAGTACATCTTCTTATTTATTTATTGATAAGACTGGGTCTCACTCTGTCGCCTAGGCTGGAATCCAGTGGCACCATCACAAGTCACTGCAGCCTTGACTTTCTGGGCTCAAGCAATTCTCCCACCTCAGCCACCCCAGTAGCTGAGGTCTGCAGGTGCACATCACCAAGCCGGGCCAATTTTTCTTTTTTTTTTAATTTCTAGTACAGACGAGCTCTCGCTATGTTGCCCAGTCTGATCTTGAACTGAAGCTCAAGTGATCCTCCTGCCACAGCCTCCCAAAGTTTTGGGATTACAGGTGTGAGCCACCACAACCAGTGTATTCTCTCTTTTCAAAAGAGCAGTTATTGGAACAATGCGAATGGTTTAGGACATGGGCTTATGGGGGCGACTAGGTGGAATGTGTGTCAGCCGCTTGCTGGCCTCACCTTCCATGTTTCAGCACGTGTCTGGGCCTCTTGGAGAACAGCACTGACAGAATGTGCAGCCTGGGGCATCTGTCCATTGGGCTGGGAGGTGCCTGTTTTAGGTCCTGAGAGGGAGGAAGCCAGAAAAGAAAAGTGAGTAATGTATTTTCAACATTCTTGAGAGTTAATCTGAAAATACAAAGCAGTTTACATCTCTAAAGCAAGGATACTTGTTGGCTAGTTCTTACAAAAATATAAAAATAAAAACAAAGCAAAGAAAGCAAGTCACAGGCACAGCATGGTACACAAGACCTTATGAAAAATCTGAGGTTCTGTGACAAAACGTTATATGAGATTCAGCAAAAGGTTCAGGAAGGTGAGTCCAGTATTTGATAAACCCACCGAGGAGAATCTGACTAATGGGCATCCTGGAGAATAACAGTATGTTTTATTTTTGGCTGAGCCTGGTGACTCAGGCCTGTAACCCCAGCACTTTGGGAGGCCAAGGTGGGTGGATCACGACATCAGGAGTTCAAGACCAGCATTGCCAAGATGGGGAAACCCCATCTCTAACAACAATGACAACAAAAAAATACAAAAATTAGCCGGGCATGGTGGTGTGTACCTCTCACCTCAGCTATTCAGGAGGCTGAGGCAGAGAATTACTGGAACCCGGGAGGTGGAGGTTGCAGTGAGCCAAGATTGTGCCACCACACTCCAGCCTGGGTGACAAAGCGAGACTCCATCTCCAAACAAACAAACAAACAAACAAACAAACAAACACCACCACCACAACAAAAACTTTTCAGTAATTGAAGAACACAGGGCTCCAGCCTGGGTGAGAGAGCGAGACCTTACCTCCAGAAAAAAGAAAAAGAAAACAGATGTTATAGGGGTGTGTGTGTCTGGGCTGAGTTGAGTTGGGGAATTCGAGCCTGATCATCAAATGAGAAACATATCCGAATACTGTCTACAAAGTTCTGTTTTTATAGAATGTGTTGGACGTGGTTAGAACAGGAGCACCGAGCTTTGAATACGTGTTGGACTTTCTCCTCCACTTAGTACCTGTAGATGGCTGAGCTGGCTGAGCCGGTGCAGCTGCACTGACTGTCCCCACGTTTGTCCACCGAGAGGCAAGTCCAGCCTTTGCCATGGCCCGCTGGTAGTTATCATAGAGAGTCTTCCCATACTGGGGAGAGAACACAAAGGAAGAAGGAAAGGAAGCCATTTATCCCAAATTGTGCACTCAACTGCAACAAACAGCCATAGAAGAAAAAAGTACTCCATGGCTACTCTGTTCACCACTTGTCTGAGTTATTTTTTGGATATTTCAATTAAAATTTAACAAATTGTTTTTCACACAGTCATTCTCCAGATTAGCAGAATCAGTTAATTTTTTCAACTACATATTAGAGGAGAGGTCTGGCCACTCAATTCTGATTACATATGTCTTCATGTAACTCGATTATAGATTCCATCTTGCAGTTTTTAACTGTACACTAGTCTTGCAACACTCGCCATGAGTAAATATCCAGTTATTGCAGAGATCCATGTTTCTATCACTCCCTGTGTTTAGAAAACCCATTGGGCAAATAAACTCAATTTCTGTGGCTGAACCTAAGGATGGGCCAACTGCTTCACAGCAGCAGGAAAACTGTGCCCAGGTCAGGAAGTTGGTTGGCAAATTCAAGACAGGGTGAAGTCCAAAGACTCTCACCTTGGCTATCCGTATTCCCATGACCCACTGGTTAAGGGTTCTTGCATCATCAGAGCAGAGATACTTGATATACTGGGACTCCTTCTGAATTTGGGGGTGCTGGAAAGAAGCAGTTTTGAGACAATGTATTCACTTGTCATGTATTTGGAGGTCAAAGCACCTGTCAGGAAATTTTAAAAAACTAACAATACATGTGATTTGTGTGGCAAAAATTACTGGTTGCAATGTTAGGATCAGGAAGAAGAAAACTCTTAAAAATGACTAAATTTTGAAAGAATTTAAGAGAGCTGTTATGTGTTGGGAGGCTGAGGTGGGCTGATCACTTGAGGTCAGGAGTTCGAGACCAGCTTGGCCAACATGGTGAAACCCTGTCTCTACTAAAAGTACAACAACAACAACAACAACAACAACAAAGTTAGCCAGGCGTGGTGGCAGGTGCCTAGAATCCCAGCTACTCTGGAGGCCGAGGCAGGAGAATTGCTTGAACCTGGGAGGCAGAGGTTGCAGTGAGCCAAGGTCACACCACTGCACTCCAGCCTGGGTGACAGAGTAAGACTCTGTCTAAAAAAAAAAAAAAAAAAAAAAAATTGTTATATGACCATAGTAAGCACATCTTTAAAAAACATTTTTTTTTTGAGACAGGGTATTACTCTATTGTCCTGGCTGGAGTGGTTCAATCATAGTTCACTGCAAACCTCGAACTCCTAGGCTCAAGAGATCCTCCCTCTTCAGCCTCCTGAGTAGCTAGAACTACAGGTGCACACCACCATGTTCAGCTAATTAAAACATTTTTTTTATAGAAATGGAGTCTCATTATATTACCCAAGCTGGTCTCGAACTCCTAGCCTCAAGTGATCCTCCTGCCTCAGCCTCCCAAAGTGCTGGGATTACAGGCATGAGCCACCATGCTTTGCCTGTAAGCACTTCTTACTATATTATCAATAATTTCATTTATGCCGTTTTAACTTTTGAAAGGTTTTCATATCTATCGTGTCTCCATTCCCACGGGAAATCTAAGCTGCTTCTCCATTTCTCAGATAAGGGAACTTACCTGCCATAATTCTTATGCCATAGGATTAAATGCCTACAGGAATTGTAGTTTTTTTTAACTCCCCAAACCTGGTTCTAGGGTTATTTATGCTTCCAAAAATTCAGAGTTTTGTGATGACCTTCATTTCTTAACTACTATCTGCTGCCCAAGTGGGCCAACGGCTTCCAGATGGACAGCGTGGGGAAGGAATATTTCTGTCTATTGCACTTAGGGCAAGTGGCACTACGCAATGGTTCCGGTTGCTGAACAGGACTTCCACAAAGATAACAAGGAAATGGCCAGGCATGAAAGAGAAACACCTTTCGCTCCTCTTGATCTTTGGTTCAAGATCTCGTTGATCTTATGGTTTATTCAGGTGTATTTTTTATTATTATTTTTTAAGACAGAGTCAAACTCTGTTGCCCAGGCTGGAGTGCAGTGGTGCCATCATGGCTCACTGCAGCCTGTAACTCCTGGGCTCACGCAATCCTTCCACCTTAGCCTCCTCCTCTGTAGCTGGGGACCACAGACATGCATCCATTCTTGTTTTTTTCTTTTCTTTCTTTCTTTTTTTTTTTTTTTAACGTTTCCAGGCTGGTGTTGAAACCCTGGACTCAAGTAATCCTCCTGCCTCAGCCTCCCAAAGTGCTGATTACAGGCATGAGCCACCAACCCCAGCAGTTTCTGTTTTATGTTTCTGTCTCTGATAGACTGTGTCTTCCATGAGGGTGCGAACTACTTCTGTCTTATTCACTGCTGAAGACTTTCAGTGCTTAGCGCATGGCAGATATTCCAGTCCAGATGTCAGAATAGTTGAAGGAAGTCAACAAGCACATCATTTCCTGTTCAATTTCTTGTAGTCATAAAGCAAGGGGCTGGCAACCAAACCCAGGTTCTAAGATATTAATATGTGCCATATAAGTTTTCATGGGTCATTACAAGATTTATTATATTTTCTTTTTCTTTTTTTGAGACGGAGTTTTACTCTTGTTACCCAGGCTGGAGTGCAATGGTGCGATCTCGGCTCACAGCAACCTCCGCCTCCTGGGTTCAGGCAATTCTCCTGCCTCAGCCTCCCGAGCAGCTGGGATTACAGGCACGCACCACTATGCCCAGCTAATTTTTTGCATTTTTAGTAGAGATGGGGTTTCACCAGTTGACCAGGATGGTTTCGATCTCTTGACCTTGTGATCCACCCGCCACGACCTCCCAAAGTGCTGGGATTACAGGTGTGAGCCACCGCGCCCGGCCCGGTTTATTATATTTTATTATGTAGAAAAACAATTAGCAACCACAAGCATCACATGTGTGTGTTTGTGTGTGGTGTGGCACCATTTCTTTCTTCTTCCTCCTGTCCTGCTGGGATAATCCGCAGTTGCGGGTGGTGCAGAAAGTGGAATGGAAAGCCAAGAGAGCTGGAAGCATCTATCTGCTATTCACTTGGCAGGAAGGAAGGAAGCTGTCCATTTCCTCTCTTAGGGAATTGCACAGACCTCTCCACTTCTCTCACTTTCGATCTGAAATCACTGACCTCCAAGGAAATGGCTATTCTCAAAGTTGATCTAGGCAAAGGGTCTCGTGTCTTTAGACTTCAGTTGGAATCTGACTGGCAGTGTCTAGTCACCCTGCGGGACTTTCTAATGAATGACTCAGCCAGCAAGAGCCTGTGAGATTGTGATCTTTGTCCAGAAAGGATAACAAGACCCTTAGAGGCTCCAGGAGCTTGACGAGAGTTTAGTAATTTTTGGTTTTACAAATGAGAAAACTGAGGCTCAGAGAGGTTACTATACATTCCACCCTGTGACCAGTAGAACCACCTAGAACTTCCGTGTTTGTATTATGCTATTAGACCCAAATCCCAGACTTGGAAGAGACCACAAAAAATTCAGAAATGATTTTAAAAAATTCCTCTTTTTGGTCTTTTTAGCCAATTAAGGAAAGTCTACTCATATGTGTGTCTTTAAATATACTGCTTTCTTTACTCAGGCCTCAGAAATTGCACTGTCATTGCTCGAAGAACGGTCAGTTCCTATTTGCTTGGGCATAGCAAACAGGGACACAGACATTCCTCTTTCTCTGGACGGTGACAACTTCACATCCAGCTCCTGAATGTTGCTGTAGTTTTCCGGTCTGGCCAGCAGATGACAGCAAACACTTTTGAATAGCAGCTACTCATTTCATTGATTTTGCGGTTCAACGCTTACTCCCTCAGTCTGAATGTTAGATTTTATTTTTGCAAATGTTACTCCAATAATGATCCTCCTTGGAGGCCCTTAAAAATATCTATCAACTCAGGTAATATGGCCTGAGAGCAAAGAGGAGTTGTTGTCTTAATTAACCTAAAGTTCATATTGATGAAAAATATACTAAGGCCAACACTTATTGGCTGGAATGTAACAGCCCGCAAATTCCTGCAGCATTCTCTTCAACAATAACATTTGCAAAGCTAAACCAATGCCCTTGTCTTTCAGCACCAGAAACATAGCTCTCTGATCTACAAACAGCGTTTGTGTTCTGATCGTCTTATAAACATCTGTCTCTGGAGCAATTAAATGCTTATAATTGTTCTTAGAAAGCAGCTATTGTCCACCCTCCAGACATTTAAAAAGCTGATATTGTTACCTTGAACTTAATCTATTAATTTTTTTGGTAGATGTCATGTGAGAACGAAGTTTCCAGAGTAGATTAAATCTCATTGTGTTTTCAACAAAATGCACAAAGCAACTGCTTAGAGTTACCCATGTAAGAAGCATGATAAACAATTTATTAACTGTGCTATTCATTGAAATAGAGTAAAATGCAGTCATTCCCTTAAAAGAAATGGCTTTTGAACATCAAACAGCCCCTTGATGATGGGGTTGATGTATAGACCTTGCTATAGGTCAGGTCTCACCAATTTCCTCACATTACATGTGTGCTATGGATGTATACAGGGGGATTAAGTAACGGATGACCTCTAAGGTCTCCAGCAGTCCTCAGATTTTATGGTTCTAAGATGAGCTGCCTAACGGGAACGAGCTCCTTTCCAGAGCCTGGAGATGCAGAAATAGTTTAGGCTTGCAGACATCACAGAGCAAGTCACTGGGCTTGTCCTCCATCGTGTCTTGAGACTTTGCCAAGGAACTAACTGCCTAACTCAGCCTTTTGCTGAAAAATCATTTGCAAAGAGGTTTCAGGAAAATGCTGGTGCTGTGTCAGTGGCCAGATTTTTCGCAATTCACTTGATTGTTCCTGACAATAAAGAGAGCGCTTCTCTGTTGGGACATGAGAACAGCACACAGAGGTCAGGGCAACTGTGGAATGTCACTGCTGAGAATGAGAAAATAGGCTGAGAGAGGCTAAGCAATTTATCCAAGGCCAAAGGTAGCGAAAGAACCAAGGCCCTATTTGTTCATCAGATATCTCTGGGTGCTAAGAAATATGCTAATTCCTAGACATATCAAGAGGAGTAAGACAGGCAGGGCCCGGTGGCTTACGCGTGTAATCCCAGCACTTTGAGAGGCCAAAGCAGGCAGATGGCTTCAGGCCAGGGATTTGAGACCAGCCTGGGCAACATGGTGAAACCTTGTCTCTATAAAAAAAGCACAAAAATTAGCCAGGTCTGGTGCGCATGGCTGCAGTTCCAGCTACTGGAGAGGCTGAAATGGAGCCAGGTGTTCAAGGCTGTTGTGAGCCGTGATTGTGCCACTGTGTTCCAGCTTTGGCTGGAGGAAACCCTATCTCAAAAAAAGCACATAAACAACAACAGCAAAAAAGAGGATATGAGAGCACTCACGTGATAACTGGGCAGTGCTCACTGGGTGTGTTTTAGGGAGAGACATACATAAACACATTATGTAATGAAATGTGTAATCAAATCACATATGTAATGTGATTATGACGGAGTATGCTCCATACGAAACATTTGAAAATGGGCTGAGAAAGGGTGTTTAGAAGTGACAGATTGTTGTAACATGTTTGGAGAACATGGAGAAATTCTGTGTGGCTAAGGTCCAGAATCCATGGAATAAAGAAGCAGAATTAAGCTGGAGAAGGATCTGAGTAAAGAGCCTTGTTTCAAACTAGAATC